TGTGTGTGTGGGTTGAAAGACCCGTTGATATATGTGTGTGGTTGCCAGGCGAGGTGACCTGAAATAAAGACTGTTGTGGAAACCCCATTCTCTCCTCCCTTGTTTACCCGGAGTGGGCCGAGTATTCCCACAGTATTGTTTTTTCAAAAGGCAGATACTGTGTTCTTAGTTTGGTTTCAAAAGGCAGATACAGTGAATGCTCAAATGGATGTTTCAAAAGCTCAATGTAAAAGGGTAGGCTGACCCGTTGTGTGTGAAATACAATAAAACATTTAATTAAAAAAATGCTTGTGTGTCTTTTTCCTATAGTAGCGATAATCATGAATATTGTGAACTGTGATATTTCCTCTGAAAATAACTGTGACACAAAAATCTCATTGTGACATCCCTTTTTGAAACACCACCCTTCAAAAGATTCAATTTATTGATTGTCAAAAAATTACTGACTACAGATTTGGAATTCTGATTAATAATTAAATCAATAACCTTAACGACAATAACCATGTCCGGAGTTAGCAAATTGAAGGATATTGAATTCTTGACAGTGCAGAGGTTGAGAAAATTCACCCTAATGCAACATTAATGAAAACATGTGTGTCAAAGAAAAACATTTATTGAGAAAGTATTAATAGTATAGACACAGAAACTAAATAAATTGTACTTACTATATGTGTGTGTGTGTGTGTGTGTGTAAAACTTATAAACATCACACGAAATATAATTTAACAGTCCTTTGCTTAGCTAAGTTTAACCAGTTCATGAAAAGAGGGAAAGGTCCTTTTGAAAGTACTGTTTGATGTCCAGTGAAGCAGTCTTGCTGATTGTGGCTCCTGTTACTGTGCATCTGCTGGTCATTCACTGTGTCGTGGCCAATCACTTGTGCGTAGGCAAGTCCTTTTGGAAGGTTTCAGCAGTCTGCTTCAGGCAGGCCCGCTTGGAGGTTAGTAGAGCTTGGGTAGGGAGAGGTACCTCTCTTCTCCAGGAGCAGTGAGTAGAAAAGAGAGGGAACTGGGCTTTTACAGGTCTGGTGACTTCATGGGGCACACAGTGACCAATAGGGGCAGGTTGAACACATAGGTGTGAAGATGAAGCACCCTGGGAGACTGAGTTCTGGAAGCTCTCCTTTGTCTCCAGAGCAAAGGAGACATGCAGTCAGGCTTTTGCCTACACATGTAGGCCCAACTACTGTTCACAAATACTAGGTCCCAACCATAGGTCCCAACAGCATGCATACCTAAATCACGTTGTGTCCTTGCGTCTTGCCACGGGTGTACTACACAAAAAAGTTGGAGTTTGGTGCCTCTTTGTCTGGGGCATCTAAATAAGATATGAAAGTCCATGAGCGTAGACACTACATTGTACTGCTAGTTGGCCTTTTATCTATAACCTGACCTTGGGTATTGCTGGGAGAGAAGGGTGTATGTGTGGAATTAGACAGGCACTATTCTCCTAATGGTGCTGTACAGATGTAATGTTGAGGATGGTCAAAAATTTCTGCCCCACTGTTTCACTGTCAGTTATACCACCATGGGAATTTGTGATAGCATCCATAGACACCAGTCTGCAGCAAAAATGAATACATTAAGACAAGACGATACCAAAGTTCAAAACGTCTATTGTTATATATAAATGGTCTGTATTTACATAGTGCTTTTCTAGTCTTGATGACCACTCAAAGCACTTTACAGTTTTACATTCACCCATTCCGCAGTGCATCTATTTGCAGAACCTTTCTCATACCCAAAATATATCCATAGATGCATATCCAGTACTGTACAATGAAATTCTTTCTTTGTGTTGAGGAAGTCCAGAGTGGTGTTGAAGAATGCAAACGACAGGAAAGCCGCCACGGTCCCAGTGAGGCTGCATTTTCAATGAAGTACTGAAAAGAAACAAAACAAACTTCGAAGGATTAACAGACGAAAGCAAAATATGACATTAAAAACACTGTAAGGAAAGACATCAAGGCATATACTTTGTATTTAAGTTTAGCTTTGTTTACTGCCAATCTACTGCACCACACTCCAGTCCAGAAGGTGTCAGTAATGCACCTATAAGCTGGTTTGCCAATTGTAAGAAGAAGAACAAGAAGAAGAAGAAGAAGAAGAAGAAGAAGACGAAGAAGAAGAAGAAGAAGAAGAATGGGGCTTGACGGGTTCTGCAAGCTGGATAGTTCCGATCCTTTCTGGGTGAGTTTATTTTGAACCTCGCTGGGTGCTGTTGAATTTGCATTCCGGTCGAAACACACACAAGCGGTTGTTCCCGCAAGAACTTCTGCTGTAAGTCTGCGGAGAATGTGAAACGCTGGTCTTGGTTATGTTCTACCGTTATTCAATAAGCCCCGCAATGGGATCTGTAACTTCGTGTATGAGGGACTGCATTTCGTGACCAATCAAATCAGAGGTAATCATAAAAAAACCCCCAAAAAATCAAGCTGCTCGTTTTGACAGTTGTGAATCTGATTTACTAAGAGAGAGTCCCTTCTCTTCAGGTCAGCCACACATTTCCTCTGCACGCCGGTAGAAGTTCCTTGAATTGTTCTATTAAGGTCAGATCTTAATGCCAAGGTCGACAAAGAAAAAGAGATGGAACAGTTTGTGTAACCATCGTGTTTCAGCTCTGACAGAGAAGTTGTTACAATGAAAACACTCAGAGTAGTATTTGTCATTAATGACAACGAGGAGGATGATATGTAATAGTTGTATGAAGTATGCAGTTCTGCTAAAACCCCTGTGAGGCAATCTGTTGCAATTAAAGAATGATTTATTTTCCGTGTATGATTAGCAAACCTACATTCAGTGCATGTTGTATTACTGTTTAAAATGATCATTGCTTGTGCTTGCAATGACACTGAGGGGGACCGCTCTCTGTCCCGTCTGACTTCCAATCAACATCGCCGTTATTTCCAACTTGCCTTGATCACGATTAAGGAACGATTGTTGCATACCTCCCCGTCCCTGTCGCACTTCACCCAGACTGACGATCACATTTTGTAAAATCATCACTTGATGATGTCCGATCACGAATGGAACAAACACAGGTCCTGTAGCCTATGTGTCCTCATAACCTCAGAATAGTGTTAGTGTTTGTTGTTAGTGTAAGGTGAGTGCAGGTCAGCGGTGGAGGGAGGACATGCGGCAGGGTGATATGGCACGGAACATAGTGGCAACCCGACAGTTAGTAAATGCACGCATTGGGGAAAGTATTAAACTATCCAATCGACATGAGCAAAATTCGGTCGCTTAGGGCTTATAAATGTGGTTTTTATCTGTTATTTCCCAGCCCTCCCGGTATCAGAGTTATCACTGATATGATAATGGGCCGTGACATGGATTTTGCAATACAGTCATTACCATGATTAATCAACAGCCTATTAAAAAGTAAGACATAATCTTGAGTTGAGATGAGAGAAGTGCCGGAACCAGACAGGGACACAGATGGCCAAAAGAAAACTCTGTTGACTTGGTTTTAGATTATTTGGGGCCGCCCCTGCACATTTATCACGGGCGCTGCTTCAGGATCAGGGCAGACACATATTAGCCCCCCCCTTGAGTCATGATCTGAAATCGTCAATTAATGATTAAAATAAACGTGATCATCAGTTTGTGTGAAGCACGACAGAGCTACGATACTGCTCCTGTGGTGTCATCCAAGTGTCCATAAGCCCCGACATTCAAATTCGACTCAAAACAGCGTCATTTACACCACGTTTTTAGCCTAAACGTCCTCTGATATCCTCCTCTGGAGCCGTGTTCACGTTTGCACGCGCGGTGTAAGCGATAGCCTCGCTACTTCCGCTTGCAGGGCTTCCGGTAGCACCTCTCAACAGCTATCTGCAGTGCAGCACTGCTTGTTGAGTAGGGTGCAACTGTATATAGAAATCAATAAATATCCATTAGATTGCAGTGTTCATACAATTTAAAACTTTTTAATTTTCATCAATTTGAAACTATATATTATACACATGAACATATTAGCAGCTGACAGCGTAACCTTAGAAATGTACAGCATAGGCTTACTTCCCAAAACATTTAAATATCATTAAGGTGCAGTGTTTAGAAGATCAGGTGTTGAACTGTGTTGTATTTGTATTCACATTAGCAGTTTTTTAGCTTCACGTTGCGACAGTCCCAGCGAGTACTGTGATTTTCATGTTCCAGCTCATGTGTTGAAAGTCTGTGTTCTTGACAGTGTATGGCTGCATATCAGCTGCCCAATTTGTCTGACTATTTTGTAGATGATTCTTTGATAGGACAATAAAGTAATTTACTCACCTTACTTATGTGGTCACATTTTATGCCTGTATGAATGAAAATAATAATTCCGTGCTCCTTAGTGTCCCTTTGGGCTAACTGAACGCAACATTGCCCCTGAGGGCTGTGCCGTCATTGTGTGATTGAGTTGTGATGGAGAAAGTGCTGCACGTGTGAAAGGGTGAATAGCAAAAACTGTAATGTAAAGCGCTTTGAGTTGTCATCGACACTAGAAAAGTGCTATATGAAAACAGACCAGTTACTTTCTTTAAATAACATAAAAACATTTTGTTCCCTATTGTCTCTTTTTCTTGCCTGTACCAGGATTGGAACCATACCTGGTACACTCAAAATCCAGATCTCACCCAGTGTTTCCAGAACACTGTCCTTGTGTGGCTGCCATGCCTCTACCTCTGGATATGTGCCCCCATCTATCTCATCTACCTCCGCAGCCATGACTGTGGCTACATATGTATGAATTACCTCAACAAAGCTAAAACTGTGAGTGCTGTGAACCTTGATTATTTTAAGTAGACATTTTTCAAAAAAAACCAAATCCCATATTGTTATGTGTACTGTTATTATTTTAATACTTGTACTCTCACTGTTAATCTACTCTGTCAGTTACACCTTATAAAAGGAAATCAAAAGTCAGTGTCATATAGAGAGGGCAGATGTGATATGATTTAAATATGAAAATAACTTCCCACATTTTAAGACAGTCTCCAAGAAGACATATATAGTGATCAGCAATACACATGAACATTTTCAAAAATAGATGAGAAACACATGAAAGAGAGCTAGACATGTTCAGCCCATGGCTCATTTCTCACTGTTACACTGCTGAATAATCACTGAAGCCGTTTTCAGATATGAACTCCGGAGAATGTTGGAACAAATTACTTTGAAAATGTTTTCCTTTCGAAAGCGTTCACAACAACACAGAAGTCTCTGCAGTGTTCAGGTGAGGGGTGGTGCAGAGGAACCTCCTGCCACTCTGACATTTGCGTTCTAACATACGGCCCATCTGGAGAATGTCTGGAGATTCTCTGGGGTTCAGTGCATGTCTGAAAGCAGCTTAAGTGAAGGGACTGTGAATGGGGGGGTTTTTGATTTACAAAAGTAAAAGAGATTGGTTGTGTCATGTCAGAAAACTGAGCTGTACTTCTCTCCTCAGGCTGTTGGTTCTTTACTGTGGATAATCTGCTGGTCAGATGTTTTCTATTCATTCTGGGAAAGAAGTCATGGCGGTGTCCCTGCAACCTACCACATAGTCAGTCCAACTATACTCGGCTTCACCATGGTTAGTTCGTTTTTCAAATTTTTTGTTGACGGGTGTCTTCTTTTGTAATGATCTGGAATTGGAATGTTCTTTTTTAAATTATAGTTTTAAGTAAATTAAGATTAAATGATATAAGGAGAATTTTAAATAGCATGTGTGTAGTTTTGGAAATAAAAAAGTGTACTTAGTATAAGATTGCTCTCTTATAAGACATGAAACCCTTAAAGGAGACATATTATGCCCCATTTCCACAATTTGCCATTTTTTGGGGGTCTTAATTAAATATATGTGATATACTTTGGTCAAAATACCAAAAGGATGAAGCATCGCAAAGCTCTTTTCAAGCTTTCAAGCTGTGAAGTGCCCTGTTCAGACTGCATATTCCTTTAAATGCTAATGGGCCACTGCTCATCCCTCCCCTCTGTTGTGCTGGGAGAATGTTGAAATGTAGATGAAATGAACTAGTGAAAACATCATGAGGATCATTCTACATTAAATTTCATCCAATAGTTCCCTTTCACCTAGATCTTACACACTGGACCTTTAATTGTAGGCCTACTATAACTAGAAAACAAACAAAATATATTTTCTGACTAATCTCAGCCTGCTTTTCACAGAAGCATCATCAACAATTAACAACGATAGAGGCAGAAATCCGCTGGTATAATGAATTGTAGTTAAACAATCCACACCCACTGTCACCTAGAGATATGATCCTTACAGACAAACTGGATACACATTTGAATAGTATATCCTCTCCAGATTTATCCAGTTGGTAAGAGGAGAACATTTCATAAATCTGGTAAACCTGATAATTGAAACCCCCCTGTACTCGCATCAAACAAGGCATCTAGATATAAGGAATAAATAAAATGAATGCTCTAAATGAAATGATAAAATGAATGCTCCCGCAGCTCTTAATTAAATTAAACTGACTATTAATTGGCTGCAAATTATGAAATTTTCAGGCAGTGCTTTTATAGAAATAGTTCACCGAAAAAGAAAAATTCACTCTACTCGCCACTATGCCGATGGAGGAGTGGGTGAAGTGTTTAAGTCCAAAAAACTCTTTAGGAGTCTCAGGGGTTGCAGCCAAATCCAATACAATTGAAGTAACTTGTACTAGAAGTAGCAACAGGGACCTGCTGTCACTGAGCCCTGGCAAGTAAAGACAGGCTGCGGTACTCGGTGCCACCACTGCTGCACAAAGTGCTGTTCACCTTTTTATTCAGAGTTTGATGAAGCTCAACTCATTACACAGAGCCCTGAAGGGGATAATGCGTTGTCATTGCCATTGATTGCCATGAACAGGATCAACAACGCAACTTACATTGATACATTCCAGCCATTTTAGTAATATTGAACCTATGTGTCCAAATCACACTAAATTCAAACCTGTACTTTCTTAACAATACAAATGTGTGAAGCCGATACGATGACTGGTTCTTGAGAAATGTGTTCCACAGATAGACAGCTATTTCTGGAATGATTAGGGGGAGCTGTGGTAATATTCACATTTGTCTGCATTGGTAGCCACCCCAAAGACCCAAATAAATGTAAAAAAACCCAGTGAAAATTGTATATGTCCCCTTTAAACATCTTGAGGTTGTGAAGAAGCAGAAGCAGCTGCAAACAAAACTGGAAGAATGCAGCTTTACTGTGGTCAGCAATAAATGCGAGCGCTCTCTTTATGACACCACATGAAATTTTGGTGTAATATAGGTGTTTGTTTTAAGTGATTATGTCCATTCTTATGTTTAAATGTGTATGTGTTCCAGTTGCTGGCCACATTATTAATCCAGTATGAACGGATTAAAGGGGTGCAGTCATCTGGAGTGTTGCTGATCTACTGGCTGCTGGCACTGCTCTGTGCCACAGTCACCTTCAGGTCTAAAATCCTCCAGGCCCTGGACCAGGTCAGTCAAGAACAATTAAGGCCGAAGTAAATATAGTAACACCATTGATAATAAATCTCTGAATATATTACTGGTTTGATATGATTAGTAAGTCCCGGCAATATTATGGCAGATGTACCAAGAATTTTAATATCACTATCATGTTCTGTGGGTTAAAAGCTTGATCTGTTTTTGATTTTAGCAACGGTCAGTGTGTTTGTGGCGGTACACCACCTTCTATAGTTACTATGCTTTGCTACTGGTTGCTCTGTTCCTGTCCTGCCTGAGTGACCAGCCACCCCTCTTCTCCCAGATTGTAAAAGACTCGGTAAGGTCACCTCACGCTGTACATCTATATCATTCTTTCACTCTCCTCTCCCTCACACAAAGTCAAAATAACTGCAATCTCCAAAACTTAAAAATGTTTATATATCTACTCAGTGATTTAGACCTGGTTAAAATATGAACTTGCTTTAAAGCGGCTACTGTGCCTCTGGAAACTCTCTTATATTAAAAGCTGAGCGGATTATAGTATTTCACACTTGCTTCAGGACAGATGCTGTTGTCAAAAAGTAAAACAAAACAAAAATACGTCCTAAACACTATTTTTGACCCAGATGGAAAATGAGGTATCATGAGGTCAAGGAGAGACAACAACAATCTGCAAGGAGTTAGGAAAAGACAAATCCAACTACACAAGGCTTTTCTTTTAAACCAACTTAGCTGTTTACAACAGAAGCTAAGTATAGAGAAAACACAGTGCTGAGCACCATTCAAGTAAGGTTTCTCTCCAAATAGAATTTGACCTGTAATAAAAGGATGTTTTCAATAGCGTTTTCAACATTGAACCATTAGCTATTAATAGGATTTCGCAACAAATAGATTTTATTTTAACATTAGAACAAACAAATGGAAGAATGGACATGATTCTGACTTCTGTCCTTTGCTGTATTTTTTTTTTGGGGAGAAAATTATTACCTCCGCCAAGAAGTTATGTTTTCACCTGTGTGTGTTTGATTGTCTGTTACTTAGCAGCATTACACAAAAACTACTGGGCAAGTCACCACAAAAACCTGGTGGAGTGAATGGGTCTGAGAACAAACATTTTCATCAGAATTGTGAGAGGCAGGTTTTTAACATCTTTATCATTTTCCTAGAGAATAATGCATGGATCTAAACATAAAAAATCAGGCTTATTTCGGGGACTGATATCCATGAGTGTGTGCAATATGGTGGGGGTTGATGAATTTAGAGGGATAGTTCAACAAGAAAAGATAATTCACTCATTATCTACTTACTGCTATGCCTAATGAGGGGTGGGTGAAGGGTTTTGAGTCCACAAAACACTTGTGGACTTTCAGGGGTAAACCTTGTTAGAGCAGAATCCAGTACAATTGAAGTTAGTGGTGTCCTTCTGATGTGATAAAACATAACATGCCTCCATACTGCTCCTGTGGTGTCATCCAGGTGTCTGCAAGCCCCGACATTAATATTCGCCTCGAAACAAGGTCATTTATACTGTGTTTTAAGATTCCAGCGGAAGGTTAGCTGTTTATAATGTGAATGGATAACCATGTTAGTTGACAGCCGTGTCAGGATCACTGTATCTCGGGAAATAATGAAGCTTGTGGCCACAGTGATTTTTCTGTCCTTGTAGTTGCTCATCAGCCAACCTACTATATGTACTGAAATAACTGTGCCTCTTCAAGATCTGGGTGTAACACAGTATTTGTTTTCTTCAGAACCCATGCCCTGAGCGTGGAGCTTCTTTCCTCTCCAGAATCAGCTTTTGGTGGATCACCAGGTGAGCAAAGAAATGAAAAGCAATACAGGGGCGTACCCTGCTTATTCTATCAACACACACACACACACACACACACACACACAATACAGAATAACTTTTGCTTACTTGGTTCAGTCTAACAAGGTAATTTGCTTGAGTTCAGTGGCTGTGTTCTCATGTGTGCTTTCTTCTTTTTCTGAAATCACTCATTGTCCACTTATTTTAATGTCTTGATGAACTTATGAATGCTGTATGTTGTATCACTAGGGTTGAATGCTTTTACATTTTRGACTTACAATAAGTGTATTATATATATATGTGTATATAAATATATATATATATATATATATATATATATATATATATATAAGCACACACAGTTGATGATGGTTGTTAGACATCTGAAACACTGCCTGAAGGGAGCAGAGGAGTGGTGTCGTGCGAGTGAACTTAGGTAGGTTGAGGAGCAGCTGTATTCTGGAAGAGCTGCAGAGGTTAGATGGCATTAGGAGGCAGACCAGCCAGGAGGTAGTTGCAGTAGACTAAAGCCTGGACTAGAACCTGTGCCTGCTTTAGAGTGAGAAGGGACGCATTCTCCTGATATTGTGCAGCATGTATCTACATGAGTGGGTTGTTGCAGCAATGTTGGTGATAAGGGAGACTTGACAAGTGTCACACTCAGGTTAATTGCATTCTGGGTGGGGGCTACAACAGAGTTGTTGATGGTGATTGTAAGGTCATGGGTGGGAGAGTCTTTTCCTGGAAGGAAAAGTAACTGTCTTATCAAGAGTGATTTTCAGGTGGCATGTGGACATCCACTGAGAGACGTCAGTCAGTTAGGCAGAGATTCCTGCTGCTACCTGTGTTTCAGATTGGGCAAAAGAGAGAATTAGTTGGGTGTCATCTGCGTAGCTGTGGAAGGAAAAGCCATGTGAGTGAATGACAGATCCAAGAGAGTTGGTGTACAGAGAAAAAAAAGCAGTAGTGAGTGGACAAGGTTCTGACACAGATCTTTTCCAAGGTACCTGGTAGATACAGTCTGTGAGGAAGGATGAGAGCAGGGAGAGTGCAGAGCCTGAAACACCAAGATCCTGAAGGGAGGAAATAAGGATCTGGTGGTTCATCGGTTAAATGCAATGCTTCTGTCCTCTTCCCCCCCCATTTTGTCTTTACCAGGATGATGGTGGCTGGCTACAAGCAGCCTCTAGAGGAGAAGAACCTGTGGTCTCTAAATCCTGAGGACTGCTCTCAAAGAGTGGTTCCGCACTTGGTGCACTGCTGGAACACGGAGTGCCAGAGGGTCAAAAGGTCAGTTGCAGTACAGCAGGGAATCACAAGAACATGAACAGAAATTTTCAGCATTGTTACCCTGATAAAATCTGCATCTGCAGAATATATTCTTCAGCAACCTTTTTTTTCAGTTAGCTAAGACAATGACAACACTAAAGCAACTGGTATCATATCAATACAGTGTTTTCTAAATAAGCATTTTGTTACATGAACTGAGCTTTCAATCCAAACATTATTAGGAACTGAGTAAACTATTACTACCTGCAGCAGTGATGTAGCGTTACTCCGTACTCTAACTCGGGACTGTAACTATACTGAAGCTCCCTACTCACTCCTACATTGGCTGACTGTCCTTCAAAAACGTATACAAACACGAGACAGTGTGACTTACCGTTCAGAAACGTCCTGTTGTTACCGACTGTGAATGTGTGGCTGGTCTTCTACAGGTGTATCCAAACATAACAACGCAACTCGCGTGTCACTCAGAGTGCAGACAACCAATCAGAGGAGGGCCTCGTAAATAATTAATAACGCAGGCAAAAACAGCCTGTGCTGTCTGCAGCGCCAGACACACACTGCAGCTGTTTTTTCGACTTTAAAGCACTGATATATCATCTTGGGGGTACCAATACCTCAAATGAAATCCCAATAGGTGTATGATATGGGCCCTTACATCAATTTTAGGAATCTGTCTTGACTGCTCAAAGTGGTCTTTTTTCTACTGTTATTTAAAAGCACTTTATATAATGTAAAGATTGTTTTGTGCTTGAAGTCTGTTGGAAAGTAGTTAATTTAGCTTTCTAATAATCACATGGTTTTGTCTGCAAAGAAATTGAAAATGAATATTGCAGAACTGCTGGCCAACTTATTGTGAAGGCTTTTCTTTTTCATGTTAACTTTTGATGTAATCACATTTGCATCTTTTCAGACTCAACTGTAAAAATCCCTTGAATGAAATGGACAAAAAATGAATGATGGCAGTATTTTAATAGAAAGTTATCGTGGAGTTCAAAACATTTTTTCCCTCCTTTTTTTTTCTTCGCAGTGCAGAGCAGAAAACGCTGTACTCCACCAAACAGGTTCCACACAGCGAGGACAAAGAGGGAGGAGCTGTGCAAGAGTCCGAAATCTTGATTGTAAAAAACACCCAGAAAACTAAAGAGCCCTCCCTATTCTGGGTATTGTGTCGAACATTTGGTCCCTACTTCCTCATCTCCTGCCTTTATAAGCTCATTCAGGATATCCTCATGTTTGTCGGGCCTGAGATCCTCCGGTGAGAAATTTAAGATATATCTTATTGCTGGGTTGCTTTATCTCAGAACACCTTGAGGGCATTTCTTTTCATTTGGTCTGAATGTGCACTTGGATGTGATTTTGGTTGTCAAATGTCAAAGCTCATGATCCAAACAAGAAATGGTAGACAAGGAACCACCAACAAAGGGAGAGTGGATAGCAATTGTGAAAATGTATGATATGGAGAAACCCGTTCTCTCTCCCTCTGTTCTTACATGAAGCAATGTCTGCCTCTCTTTTTCCCTATGACAAAGCCAACACCCTATACAAAGCTAACTGCTGATAAGATATGGGGTTGTGTTCCTCTGTTGACCTGCCTGTTCAGTTTTTATTTGTAATTATGTCAAACCAAATTCATAAATTTTTTATATCCTAAAGGTTAGCTTCACTGTGACCTCATAATATTCGGGGACAATTTCCTGGCCATTATTAAGCACCATTAATCATGAACAGACAGGAAGCTTGTGACCATATTTCACACTTGCTCGGATAGTCAATTGGTGACACTAATTATCAGCCATTGGAGCTAAGTGGGAATGAAAGGGAGACCATTATGCCTATTCAAGTTAACATCTAAGATTATTTGTTATTTTAAGATACAGTAAGTGCATAAAATTGTTTTAAGCGTGTCCATAATGTTGACGTCCTTCGCTCAATCCCATGCAGGCTGCTGATTCACTTCGTTACCAACCCCAGTGCCCCCTCATGGCAGGGCTACTTCTACACCGCTCTGCTCTTTATATGTACTTCTGTGCAGTCGCTCATCCTCCAGAAGTACTTTCACGTCTGCTTTGTCTCAGGCATGCGTTTGCGCACTGCCATCATTGGAGCTGTCTACAGGAAGGTACAGGCTACTCAATGCTACTTTGAGTAATTTTAGAGTTGAAACAGAATAAATAGACTAAATTACTAGCAATGAAGTACATCAGTTTTGTTAGAGTCCCACCTTTTTTATGGACTTGTGCTGACATGAACCTGCTCTTTTAGGCTTTGATTTTAAGCAGCGCAGCACGACGCTCCTCCACAGTGGGAGAGATCGTCAACCTGATGTCAGTGGATGCTCAGCGCTTCATGGACCTCATCACTTACATCAACATGATATGGTCTGCCCCCCTGCAGGTGGTGCTGGCCCTCTACTTCCTCTGGCAGGTACACACACACACACACACACACACACACACACACACACACACACACACACACACACACACACGGCATAGAGGTGGCTCTGAGAGAACCTTATTAGTCAGAGAGTAAAAGGCGCAGCTGAGGGGTGTTTGCTGATTACTTCTCAGGTTTAAGAGGCAGCTGCAGACCTGCCAGATAAGAGGGAATATGAGCAGAGAGACAGGAGAAGATATTGAAAAGAACTGGCTCGTCTCTGGCTGTTGCCACAAGATCATGGATAAAAAATATAAACCATCGACTGGTGTTTCATTTGTGAGTGAGTGATAACAAGATGCTAGTTTACCTGGGTTTGTATTTTTTAGGGAGGCTTGGCTAGCCATAGCTGGTCACTTTTTAATAGGGTGAGCCCATGGTATCTGTGTCTGAGATTTCCAGTATTAAATCTGAACTACTGTGACCTTCAATGACTTTCTCCAGCAGTAAACAGAGCCCAATGTCCGACTCACTATTCTGGAGAGCCCATAGCAAAATGGGCCAGTGTGAGGCATCAGCTGGAGTGCAGTCACTGGTCACCAGCCTGCATTCTGCTGTGCCTGTAGATGGCACACCTGTGGAAAGGTCTTACAAGGAATACTGTCAGCCTTGATGCAGCTCTTGTAAACCTCTCTGTCTACTGTGGAAGCTGTGCAGATGGGGAAACAGAGTTTCTTTTAGTTGGGAACTCCATTGTACGGTTTGTGAAAATTCCAAATGGAGTTTCGTAAGTCTGGACTGGCGCCAACATGGTACTCATGTTCTTACTGACACCCATCCAACTGTCCGTAATACTATTGATCATGAGGGCACAAATTATATTAGACTTAAGCAATCAATTTTGCTCCAACAGGACAACGAGACAATAACTGATACTATTAGGAGTCTTGGGAAACTCTGGTTTCTATCCAGCCCAATAGCCAGAGGAAAAGCTGTGAAAATGGTACTACTAACTAGCTTTCATTTGCCACATGTTGCCTGGACCGGGATATACTTGAATCTTTCTTTTGCCAACTCACTGGCTGTATGCTAGTCCTACAACATGCACTCTGCCATTTTTGTTGACAGTGGGATCAAAACCAACAACAACCACAAGACAATGTTCTAAAAACGCTTACAGTTTCAGAAAGAAAGCGGCCACCAGTATTACAATAAGCCAAGTATACAGCCAATTCCAAACAGGTATGTTTAGAGTGGGCACTGCAATAGTACTGTGAAAGCATTGACGGACCATATTAAATTAACTGTAAGGTGCATGTTGCAGAATATACTACTGCTATCCATAAATGCCATTGGAAGTCTAGTTAAACATATTGTTCATTTATGTTGGTAAATGCAAACAAATCCATTGTATCTATCTGATAAGTACTAATCCAGCCTCATTCAGGTCTTTTTATCCCTACATGTTGTTCCAGTCAGAATCTTATGATCTATGGGGCCAAACAGCGCAATAAGATCCAGCAGGTATTACGAAATGTCCATCATCTGAGGTCATGAATAGGTCATTGGTAACAGTGCTGTTCCTGTGTTGTGATGAGAAAAAAAAAAACTTAAATTGGACCTATTATGACTATTTTTGGGGTTAATAATTTTAATTACTTGAAAATGTTTACAGGCTCAAATGTTCAGAAAAAATGGGCCGACTCATGATATTATCAAGCAAGCAAACATAAGGTGCTTACAGCAGATATAACATGGTTAGATCAAAAGGTTACAGCACCCTCAAATTGCAAGTGCTGTTTCAAAGCAAATGAAGACTGGACATCAAGCATGTCCATCTTAAGGGTACTCTCATCAATGCAAGACATTGCCTCTTTTGCTTGTACACAGAAGTCTGCCTCAGGATTCATGGAAAATGGGTCACGAGAAAACAGCAGTACTTTAATAGGAATGCTGAAGTCTCGTAATATCTCAGTGAAGGTTTGCTATAAAGTCTGTTATGACTGGCGTTTTGTGTGTGCACAGAGTTTAGATTTAGATGACATACACACTACACCTTTATCATTACTATGCTCACGCACTCACATCGACATTACTGACACTACTGACATACACACTCCTCCTTTATCATTAATACTTAGTTGTTTAATTTATAATAAATACTTGAAACTACTGTCATCCATTGTATCCACCTCTGTATTTGTCATGCCCTGGGAGCTGGGTCATGACAACAGTGATAGACATAAATGAAGCTTCCCTGCCTTTGCCAGCAGCTCCACTCTACGAAAAGTTGACAATAATCACACTGGTATATTGCTCATTGCGGCTGGCAAAGTAAATACTTTTCATTCTATTCGCTTAGGATTTGGCAGTTTTCATATTAAACTTTATGGTGCTTCTGCTTTGAGAGAGAAGTTTTGCTGTGTCTCTGGGCTGCCAGCCCAGTGTGCAAGTAACGAGTGGCTTGCAGGAGCCAACACTGGTGCATAACATAAAGTCTTATCATTCAGGTCTGATTGAGACAACCCTGAAACTCAATGGCTCTGGGTTAGATGTCCCAAAGTGTATTAGAAGCATGTCTCTTAGTTTTATTTTTTCATATCAAGCTAGGCTGATTTGCAGGCAGTCTTGCAGGCCATATCCAGCCCGGGGGGCTGCTAGTAAAGTAGGCCTAGTTTAGAGGGAGAGACTAGTAATCTAAATATAAATGTGGTGGGTCTAACGTTTCTGTACTGGACATTGTATCTGTGCTATTCATGGGGAAGAGGTGGTGACTTTTTCCCCCTGGCAGTTGGAGGTCTTTCTTTTTAGACTGTCTTCCCAGGCTAGGTGAAAATGATCTTGATAGGTTTACTACCTTCTTTTTCAGAGGGGTGACAATTTCAATGGTTGCTCGCAATGTGGCTGCTGTACTTACAAAGCCATCAACTAGTGTGTGAGTGAAGTTTTGATAACTTTCCTGTATACTACTGACATGGCTGCAGAGAAATTGTGTTAGCAATTATTTCCTGCGGGAAGAATACTGTTAAAATAGCTTTAACATTATATGAGAAACATTTCAGAGAGTATGCTGTCTGCTGGAAAGTCTGACTGTGAGGCTCTCCTAAATTGACTTTTATGTTACACTCATAGGATCCTGCTTGTTTTCACCATCTGTTTTGACTGGATTAAAGGTCCAGTGTGTAAGATTTAGGTGAAAGGGATCTATTGGCAGAGATTTAATGTAGAATAATCCTCATGATGTTTTCACTAGTTCATTTCATCTAAATTGTATGAATTATAGTTTTATTTAACCCAGAAAAGGCCCTTTATATTTAAATACTTTATATTTACATGGAGGGGACCCTCTCTACGGAGGCCGCCATGTTTTTTACATTAGTCCAGACTGGACAAACTAAACACCTTTTGAGTTTTTATGACAACTGAAGCTACCACAGGTTATTTTCATGTTTGGAAGGAGAGGGTGAGGTGAGGGGTGTTCAGCTGCAACATGCAACTTCAACACTAGATATCACAAAATTCTACACACTGCACCTTTAGGTAATTTTAATTGACAGACACCCAGATTTGAGCTTATTCAGAGATACTGCTGCACTGGTCAAGTGAAACCATATCTTTGTATTTCTTCTCCTACAAACAACTGACTAGAAACTAGGATCTCCGACCTCTACCAGATCCAAGACAATAAACTACTCCGGGATTTGCTGGCTGCAAAAGCCTACTGCTTAGCTCCATTGTCAAATCGATTCTCGAGGAGAACCCGTGTCCCAGGCTCATAGCCAAACCAAAGACTTAGATCTGATCACTTCCTACTCCTTCAGAAACTCTGGATTTTCAGTCAGACATAGATAACACAAGTGAACCAGGAACCGCTAACATCGGATCACATTGGATCCTGTTTTGTCCCACTTCTGAAGAATCAGTGATTTATATTTATATTATAAGACTATAAATCCAGTTTCAGATACCTACAATTAATTCTGACCAGTCATAATTTAAGTTCAACATATCTTTAATTTGGCTCAGTTCAGGGTCCTTAAACTAACTAGTCAGAGTGGTGTTGTAGATATCATGAACTTGAAATATGACTAGCCAGAATTACATTCTACAACTGGAATTAAAGATAGTAATAATAAATAAATAATGATAATAATTGAATTGAATTGCAGATATCTATAATGAGAAACCCTGCACACAAGAATTCCAAGAGTAGTTTGAATCTTACATATCTTACATAAAAAGTCTTACAGGTCACAGTTAAAGTATGCCAGGTTGATATCTTTAATGTTAATTCTGAATAATCACACTTGGTTAACTGTTAAAATGGCTAGGCCTACTGAATATATATGTAAATGTAAAAAAAACTTGACTGTGGGACTGGATGTGTGTCTGTTACTCACAGTACATCCTTGGAGGGTCGCCCAGACCTACTTCATAGTCATAGCCAACGGTACCCTGACTGCTGTTAGGTACCAGGATTAAATCCCCAGAGTGATTGTCAGACTTTAGGCTGGGTTCCTCCTGGTGCAGTACAATGCCCAATCTCATGTGGCCAAAGTGTGTAGGCAGTCCCTAGATGATGAAGGCATTGGTGCCATTAACTGGCCCTCAAGTTTCCCTAACCTAAATCCAATTGAGCACCTATGGGACGTTATTTATCGGTGTATTCAACGTATCATGTTTTTTTAAATTTTATTATTAGTTTTGTTGTATTTCCATGTCAAAAGGTTTGACTTGGCCAAACTAAGAGTAGGCTCTCAACTCAACTTCTAATTTGAAGGTCACGGGAAAATACCGCACAGCATTATGTTACTATGTATGCATATGAGTATTTGACTTTGCTGTATTTCACATAAAATTTGACATTTTCTGTATGTTCGATAAATCTTTAAGTCAGCATGTGCCAGCTGAATAAGAAAGTGTTTTTATCTCTTTCTGTACAGACCCTGGGTCCATCAGTGCTGGCTGGAGTGACTGTGATGATTCTTATGGTTCCGATTAATGCTGTTATCGCCATGAAAACCAAAACCTACCAGGTGGGACTTCACAGTTGATGTAAGATAAATGTGCTTTGGCTTTACTGGGAGGTATCACAGTGTCCAGCTTTATCAACAGCCACTTCTAACAAAGGATCCAGAAATAACCATCTGTCAGTTTGTTTCACTGTGGGGCTTACATTTGTTGTGTTAAATATTTTGCTCATGTGTGTTGAGCAGGTGGCTCAGATGAAGAGTAAGGATGATCGCATTAAGCTGATGAATGAGATGCTGAATGGCATAAAAGTGCTGAAGCTGTACGCCTGGGAATTGACCTTCAAGGACAAGGTGTCAGATATCCGTGAAAGTGAATTGCAGGTCTTAAAGAAGGCTGCCTATCTGGGTGCAATGTCCACCTTCACCTGGGTCTGTGCGCCTTTCCTGGTGAGTAAAATACATTCACCACAATATAAGAACTAACTGCACAGTTTCATTCTAAATTACACAAGACATCATCATCTGATCTTTCTATTATGATGTTTAACTTGTACAACACCAGCAGTTATACAGACTGGACAAGATGATGGAATAACAAGATCACACATGTCACTTGTCTAATTTTGTGCTCATGTTCCAATTCTGCTAGACGCCATTGGAACAAAGTGAATTGGGGTATAATCACATTCAGATGTTTTTCTCTCTGTACAGGTTGCCCTATCCACTTTCACTGTGTATGTGCTGATCGATGAACATAACATACTTGATGCTCAGAAGGCTTTTGTGTCACTGGCACTTTTCAACATCCTGCGTTTTCCTCTCAACATGCTACCAATAGTTATCAGTAGTATGGTTCAGGTTGGTGGGCTGCTATTTACATGTTCAATACTCAGTCACGTATTTTTCTTTATTGTTTGAAGGTCTATATTTTATATTTAATGAGCACACAAAGCGCTTTACAGTTCAGTTTTGCCATTCACATCACATATATTGATGGAGCTGCGATAGTGAGGGACCCCTGGCAATCAACCCAGACTGCCTTAAAACAAATGTTTTTTGTAATTTGTATTGGTGTCTACTCAGTAATTTGTTCTGGCATGTTGAGATCAGAACATTGAGATTCAGTAAAAATGAGGATCCAGGATGATCCAGCACAAAGCCAGACCCAACGAAGAAGCATAAGGGGAGAAATGTGTTGGCTGCCAGCTCTGCATCGATTTTTAGCATAAAACGTTATAATTCTGTACCCTAATTGTTAATTGCTGTTCCAGTATCCCAGGCTAAATGAAAATTACGGTGTCTTAACTATTTAACCTGAGTAATGTTAGCAGCCCTCACAGTAAACGTTAGCTTGCTACTTTCAGCCTACGTTTTTGAGGATTGTGCACGGTATG